AAAAGTATAGTTCAAGTTGCTTTTTTTGGATAAGATTGCATAAGAACTTTCTACATAAAATATCACGTGCATTATTCAAATAAGGGTTGTAGTAATTTATTCGACCTATTCCGAAACTTAATTTATGGCGAGAAGTTTTTAGGAGAAGAGTACCGCAGGATGTGTTTGAAGAGAGTTTTAATAATAAATTATCATCGACTTCGAAAGAGTTCTATTTTAGTGCATTTATTTTTAACCAGGTAGTGAATAATATAGTTATCAAAAAGTTTGGTGGAACCTCTTTAACTAATCTAAATAGGGTTGCGCATCTAATAAAAAATGATATCGAAAGAGGCTATAATGTAGTAGCAGTTGTATCTGCAGCTGCGGGTTTCACTGATCAAATGGCCCTTCAAGCTCAACATATCTCAAGCCTGAGTTGTCAGCAAGAACTATCAGAATATGATGTGCTACTTTCTACAGGGGAGCAAATCTCGTGTGGACTATTAGCAATCACACTTCAGTCTATGGGTATTTATGCTAAATCGTGGCTTGCTTGGCAATTACCAATTGTAACCAATGATTTCTATTCTAAATCAGAAATAAAGGAAATAAAAATTGACTGTTTGCAAAAATCATTTTCCGAAGGGTGCTCAGTTGCAATAGTTGCTGGTTTTCAGGGTGTATGTAATAATAGATTAACTACATTTGGTAGAGGAGGCTCAGATATATCTGTTGTGGCTCTAGCGGTAGCTTTCAANAAATCTCGTGTGGACTATTAGCAATCACACTTCAGTCTATAGGTATTAATGCTAAGTCGTGGCTTGCTTGGCAATTACCAATTGTGACCGATGATTTCTATTCTGAATCAAAAATAAAGGAAGTAAAAATTGACTGTTTACAAAAGTCATTTTCCGAAGGATGCTCAGTTGCAATAGTTGCTGGTTTTCAGGGTGTATGTAATAATAGATTGACTACATTTGGTAGAGGAGGCTCAGATATATCTGCTGTAGCCTTAGCGGTAGCTTTCAATGTTAAGACTTGTGAAATTTTTACTGATGTTGATGGAATATATACAACTGATCCAAAAATTGTTCCCAAAGCACGTAGACTTAAATCTATTTCCTATGATGAGATGTTGGAAATGTCTTTATCTGGTGCTAAAATCTTACATAATCGTTCAATACAAATAGCAATGAGACATAATATAAAACTGCAAGTACTTTCCACTTTTAAAGAATCCGAAGGTACTTCTGTGTTACCCAATAACGATGTATTGGAAAAACATTTAGTAACTGGGATAACATATAGCACTAATGAGGCATTGATTACTTTCACTGATCTCACTTTACATATTTTACAAGATATAGTAGGTGCAAATATAAGAGTTGATATGATACATAATGCAAGTTTAGTAACTCCCAAGTGTGATGTTGATCGAGCAAAAAAGTTATTAGGTAAAAATATTGATTATACTATAAATGATAGTATAGCTAAAATTTCAATCATCGGTATAGGTATTACATCCAATACTGCTGTGATGTATAACATATTCAAGGTTTTAGAGAGAAATAAAATAGAAATGCTTGCTATTTCAACATCAGAAATCAAAATTAGCATCATCATTAAAAAAGAATATGCTGAAGTTTTAGTAAAAGACTTACATGACAGCTTTG